GAGCCGCGAGCCACTCTCCCGCCTGGGGCAGCGCAGGGAGGGAAGACACCCAGCCTCGCTGAGGCGACCTCCAGAGACTGTTTGGCTAGGGCAGGGGACTCTGCAGGGGACCAGGGGACAGTCCTGAGGGGAGGCAGCCACACCAGAGCTGGCAGCACACCAGCGGGAAGAGGCACCCCGGGGAAATGAAAGACCAGCGGCTCATTTGGGAAGAGCAAAGAGAACAGCGCTGAGAGCCCGGGATGGGACCAGGGCTGAGACACCCCCCAGCCCTTTCCTAGGAGCGCAGACTCCCAAATGTTGCTTTTTCTCTTCTTGCTATGTTTTCACACACACACACACCGCCTTCCACCCCCACCACCCCCGCCCCTTTCCTCCGACCCCTGTCGCATTATCTCAGCCACCAAAGCCTTTCTGAAGCTGGGAATCCGGCTGCCTCCCCACCAGGACTTGGAGCAGGGCAGGCTCTGGGCCACCCTGCTCCACCCTGGCCCCTGGGGCCACGACCACCTGAGAGCCCTCTCCAGAAGCAGTGGCTCTCCAGTTCCCTTCAAGCTGGGGCTCTCCCTCTTGGGCTTGGCCCTGGACTTTCAGCCAAGGCCAGAGACCCAAGGCTGGCCAGGGGAAGGAGGCAGGGCGTCTCCCGGGACAGCGCCGAGGCCCTCACCTGCCCAAGATTTTGCTGACACAGCCGTGGCTGACCCGCAGCTGCCGGGAGATGTCACAGGGCCGCACACCCTGGTGGGCCAACTCCACGATGCGCTGCCTCACCACGTCGGGGAGGGGCCGGCCGTTCACAAACACCCCCCCGAGCTGGTTCACACCCCCGTGCCCTGCTGGGGAGAGACAAGAAAAAAACACAACACCCCACACACAGCAGGGACCGGCCATTAGTCAGGGTCCGCGGCCCGGGATGTGCGAAGGGAGCAGGCAGGGCGGAAGGGCATGTTCCCGAACTCGCGGAGAAAGTGGCGGCTAACCACAACGTGGAGGATTGGAGATTGGAACCCGATGGGCCGTAGAGACGCGGAAGCGCAGACTCTGAGCGGAGGGCTGGGAAGGAACACGAGTCTCAGACCCATGCGACACGAGGGAGAGAGTGAAGGAGGGAATGGAGAGAAACAGGCGAAAGAATAGAAGGGAGCAGGGGGGAAACGCGAGGGGAATTAATGCTAGCGGGGAAGGACGTGGGAAAGCAGGGGAGGAAGGTCCGGCAGAGGACCGAGCCAGTGCGGAGCGATCCCGCCTGCACCGCAGACACCGAGGAGGTGTCGGTGCGAGTGGGGGCTTGGAGGCCCAGGGTTTTGGAGGGCCGGGGACCGTCGATTCTGTTCACCCCAGCCCTGAACGCAGAGCGGGGCTAAGTCCCTGAGACATACACGCGCGTGGGATTTCTACCCCTTTCTTTGCATTTACTTTTAATCGGAAAAATTCTCCTTCTTCCACTGTGCTTTTGTTTATATTGGGCGTTCTTCTTTCCTTTATGTTTTTATCTTTATAAATTTGGAGATCACATATTTCCCACCCCCCAGTGTCTACAGCGAGAAGAAAAGCGGGTGGAGGCAAGAAGGCGGCCGACTCAGGGGCGCGGGTCTGCGGCGCTCAGGGCCGGGGGCGGGATGTCTCCTCTTG